GCAGACCAGCCCTCTCCATGTTCACAGCTGCCCAATCGGCCTGGTACGCTGGGGCTGTGGGGCTGGCCTGGCTGAGGCCATTTAACAGCAGAGTGACCCACTGCCCTGACAGGCTCCCCCAGCCCCGCAGTCCCTCAGGTGGTGCCGGGCCGAGGGGGCAGGGAGGCCGTTCAGTCACACGGAGAGATGTGGAGCCGAGGAGGCACCAGCCACCCACTGGGGGCGGCCGGGGCCCCACGGGTCAGGGGAGGGAAAACCAGAGCCCCACGTACAGACTCCGCCTGCTCCAGCCCAGCCGTCCTCCCCAAGGGACCTGCCACCCCGGGCTCTGCACAGGGCACAGCCCAGGTCTCGGCTGCCTCCCACCGGCCAGCAGGGACGGGCTCGGCTGAGGGAGCCCAGCGTCCCTGGGAGGGCAGGGCCCGGCTCCAGCCAGGCTCCGTCAGGGCAGGCTGCCCCCCGCCGGGAGCCCCCAGACCGGCGTGACAGTTACACTAACCGTCCCGGGGCAGGAGCGGGGCCGCCTGGGATCCATGGACACGGTGCCGGGGCAGAGCCCAGCCAGGCCGCCCCGGGCAAGGGGCACAGCCGGCGCTGCCACGGCGCCATTTGTAGAGCGACTTCTCCCCGAGCCAGGCATCAGTCCCACCTCCACCCCCCCCCCTCCCTGCCCCCCAACCTCGCCCTGCGACCCCACCCCCTCCCCTGCCCCACAACCTCGCTCTGCGACCCCACCCCAATCCTGCTACCCCAACCCAACCCTGCAACCCTACCCCCACTCCATCACCCCACCCTCACCCTGCCCCCACTCCCAATGCCATCCCGAAGCCACCCTCTGTCCTGCAACCCCACCCCCATCCCTGCCCCACAACCTTGCTCTGCGACCCCACTCCCATCCCTGCCCCACCCCCTCATCCTGCGATCCCACCCCACACACAACTTCACCCTCCAACCCCCCCCACTCCAGCCCCCCACCCACAGTACCACCCTCTGATCCCAGCCCCACTCCAGCCCTCTGGAGCACGGACAGCAGCAGGAGTCACAGATTCCAGGTGCGAGTGTCCCAGGCCAGCAGGCTCATGGTGACCGTCTAGTCTGACCTCCCGTCTCGCCCAGGCCAGAGACCGGCCCGGAGTGAATTCCTGCTGAGCTAGGGCCGAACGTTCAGCAAACGTCCCGTCTGGCCACAGAACCTGCCGGGGACGGAGAAGCCCGCAGGGCTGGGGGCCGGTCCCAGGGCAGGAAGGGACACGGGATGCTGGTGCTGCTGAGGGCAGAACAGGCCATGGCAGGTACAGGCCTAGCGGCCCCCAGAGACCCGAGCAGAGCCGTGGGGGTGGGGCGGGCAAAGCCACTGGCCTGCCCCATTAGCTGTTTGTTTAGCTGCTGGTTTGATGTCAGCCGGGAGCTGCCCTGTTAGCGATTAACTCAGCGAGGGGGGCCAGGGTCAAGGTCAGAGGCCGCCACACGGGGCCTGGGCTGCAGCCACCTGACTGGGGAGAACAACATTTCCCCTGGCTCTGCCCAGGCCAGTCCCCTGCCCCCACAGGGACATGCCCCCCTCCACCCCCGGACTACCCCCCAGAACCCCGCTCTATAATCCCCCAGGCCCACCCCCCATTGCATCGCCCCCAGGAACCACACCCCATAATCAAACCAAGACCAGGCCCTATAATCCCACAGGATCACACCCCATAATCCCTCCCTCATCTACCCTAGGAGCTCCCCCCACATTGCATCCCCCCCCAGCACATCCCCCTGATGAGCTGAATAGTGCAGCAGGGCCCCGTGCTCACATTTCTGGCTCTGGGACCCCCTGTGCCCTTGACCCCCCACAGCTCTCTCCCGGGGGGTGCATTGGGTGGGACACAGTTAGGACCATGGGAAGCACCATGTCACCATGACACACTAACCCCCCCACCCCGGGTTTGTGTTCTTCTCTCTGGTGAAATTTTCTGAGATGAGCTGACCAATCCCCTCCTCCCCCCAGCTCCCCCCCCCAGTGAGCAATGGGGGGGCATCCACCCTCAGTGCCTGCCACTGGCACCCCCAGCGTGTGCCTGGCAGGGCTGCCGTGTACCAGGCACCGGGGTCCAGGGGTGCACCCAGGCAGTGTACGGGGACAGACATTGGGGCACACGCTGGGCGAGGGGGCACCCAGGGCAGGACCAGGCCCCGCTGCTTACGTCACTGTAGGGATTCTGCTTCTTGCCGGGGCCGCTGAAGCGCCCGTGGGTGTGGTAGGTGGGGTACTCGTTCATGGGCTGGTACGAGGCCTGTGAGCTGAGCAGATCCAGCTTCCCGCGGTTCCTCCTGCGGTATGAGCAGACGATCTAGACGGGCGAGAGGAGGCTGGTGAGTGGGGGCGGGGCGCAGAGGGGATGGTGGGGTCAGGCAGGGAGAAGGAGAGAGGCTGGAGGGGGGCCTGAGGCCGGAGGGATGGGCAGTGGGGGGCACTCACCAGCAGGATGAAGATGAGGATGCTCAGCACCAGCAGGATGCAGACCAGGACCAGCAGGGCGATGCCCCAGCCAGGCACCAGGGGTGCTGGCGCCGAGGTGGCCGGGGGAGAGCTGCCAGAGTTGGCTGAAACACAAGTAGGAGCAGTCAGGGGCTGGGGAGGACCCGGAGGGGAGGGATCCTAGGAGAGGGGCCCAGCCCAGGGGACGCAGCTGGTCAGGCAGAAGGGTGGGACAGTCAGGG